GCGGTGGGCAAAGAGAGAGAGGAAGAAGTGACGTCGAATCTTTTATCCAATAGGCGTTCACCAAAAAGCTGCGCCGTCTTCGGACAGCGACACCACATGGAGAGTTTACTTACATCAACCTCAGTTGTTCAACCATGATACTGTGTATGTACTGCATACATCCATGTGTGATACATACTGATACTATACGTTACCTGGGATACTTCATTCAGTGGTGGAATGTAACTGAGTACATTTAGCCAAGCATTATACTTAATTTTGAGGTTCATGTACTTTCTTCTATGACACTTTATACTTTTACTTCACTACATTTTATTATATCAATATATGTATTTTTTAGGGGAGCATATTGTACATTTTAGTGCAACATATACAGCTTGAGTTGCTTCACAAATTTAAGAAAAAAATTGCATACAAAACATAAGAATTTATAAAATGTTGCTTTGAAATAAATTTAAGCACTACAACTAACAATATATACCATTAGAACTGAAATTAGTCAATTATTCAATTATCTGACTGACAAAAAGTTTACTTAAATACTACACCAAAAAGAGGGAGAGACAGAGACAGACAAACATTTACCTTTCAACAAAGACCTTTTTTATTTCTAGTCCAAAGGGGTTACTGTACGTTAGCATCACCAGCAGTGATCATTTTCATGCTGTATTTAGTTTGAGTGCATCACAGATGAAAGTTGAAGGGGAGTTTCAGACTAGAAAAGGGGGAAGGCCACAGGGTGATTACTCTGATTGAAATCTGCATGCGGGCATGGCTGTCATATGGCAGTTTAGTCAGGCTATGTGTCCCCAGTCACTGTATGAACATATGAACAAAACACATGAGTAAGTAGACAATGTCCTTCAGTAAATGTTGTGCTTCTGAGACTGCAACTATTTAAGAATTACAGACCATGAAAAGTTTTAAATCTTCTGCACATACATTTAGATCGTCTATCTCCCCAGGCAGAGTGAGATGTTATTTCCATCAGTACATTTCAAACTGCAAATGGCAATGCTACAACAAAAAACTTATTCAATACAGTCTAGAAATAATATTAATCAGTTTGGCAAAATCATCATCGAGTAATTCAGAAGTTAAACACCTGTGAAGTTATTTTATACCTCCAGAGTGTGATAGATTTTAAGCTGAAAGCCGTACTGAATTAAGGTCACTTTGAGTTCACGTGCTCTATGAAAGCTTTGGCTCCACAGATTGTGCCGTAAAGGCAAACTCTTTTCAAAGGTTACTGTTACCTCACATAACAAATGAAATTAAGAGCATCACATTCAGGCACTTAGAGGCTCCGCTATCACACATCTGCCTCTGAGACTGGGAGAGCTTGATGCAGCCCTGCATGAACTGCAGTTCACACTGCCCTGAGGCACTGCATTGCTGCTTCGAGCCTCACAGGTCTGTCTCCCCACTCCTCACCAAAACGTAAAATGCCTTGTGCAGAAATCTGATCAATCATCTACTTTGTCAGCCACTTTCTTAGTCTCAGTATTCCTGTCCACTGAGTTGGATTCTGTAGCTGCTCCTCCTCCTGCAACTCGATTGCGGCTTCTGGCCCCCGGCTGGTACAGCTGAATAGCAGGCCGGTCCTTATGCACAAACAAACAACACTATTAGAAATAATAAAAAGCGATCATGAGAAACTGCTTGAATTGCTAGGTCTGCTACCTTATTTCGTAGCCTCTCTCTTTTACCACTCTCCTCCTTCTTGTTGTCTTTGATGGGCTTCTCCAGGCTCTCAGAGGGAAAGAATTCTCCGATATTTTCACTCTTTTTCTTCTCCAAGGCATGCTCTTTTTCTTTTTTCACCTCCTCCTCCCGCTTCCTGCACGTGTTCTCTCCATCCTGCCGCTCTCTCCTTCTCCTCCTCTCTTCATCCTGTCGCCTGATGCGCTCCTTCTCTTTCTGCCGCCGCTCCTTCTCCCGCTCTCGTTCACGCTCTCTGTCTCGATCTGTGTCACGCTCCCTGAACTCCTTCCGCCTGTCTTCATCCACTCTGGGTGTAGAGAACAAATCCTGTTTAAGTATTCTGTTCAAAGTGAGCAACATATTTTCATAAAATGACTGAAGTGACTAACTTCCTTCCCCGATCCTCCTTATTTTCAGTGTTCTGACGCCTCTTATGATCAGCACTCCCCATGGATCTGTCCTCTTTATTTGGCTTCTCTGGTTTCTTGGCCTTTTCCTTGGGCTTCTCAGAATTACCTTCATCACTTTTGTCTGGCTTCTTCAAGAGCTACACAGGTAAAAGTAAAGACAAATCACAGTGAGCTATTGTAAATGACACACGGTTTTAAACTGCTTCTAACCACTGTGGTGCACACCTTAATTTTTGGTTCTTCTTTAACTTGGTCTCTCTCTTTGTCCAATGTTTTCTCAAGTCTCTTCATCTTCTCAGCCTCTTTACGCTTCTTTCTCTCCTCCTCCCTCCACTTACGACGTTCTTCTTCTCGCAGACGCTTGCGTTCAAACTCCCTCCTCCTTTTCTCTTCTTTCTTTTCCTCCCTGAGTCTCTGAACAGTATTAAAGCAGAACATGAGTCACCCATAATCATGTCATTTAACACAAGTGAACACTACACTGTTATGCCACAGTATTTATTTACCTGTTTGTTCTTCAGGAAGTCTAGCAGAGGAGTTGTTTTTTTAGCTGAATAGAAGAGAAGAGTGTGTTTAAATTATCTCTCTCGCAGTGGGTCTGTTTTAAAATACAGACACTGATGTTTCAGGCATACCTATAAATTTAAGGGTGTGTGTCCATACCTACAAGTTCCTTTGATTTTGCCTCAATCTCCTCCAAGAGGGTCTCAGGTGTAGATGTCAGTTTTTCTTCATCTCCGTTGTAATATTCAAGGAACTTCTTGTAATCAGGATCTGAAAGAAAATGGCTTTTAGTAGTGTTTCTCCATAGCTTTATATAGTCTGTATTTTGACAGTACAATAAATAGGTCTACTACAATATTTGGCAAATGATGCTCACAAGGTTAGTCATAGCTAGTTACAATGGATCCAATACCAAGTGACCTTCTTTGAGGTATGTGATCACAGCTGAAGGTAAATCCTTGTCCCCAAACTATGGAGAAGCCATATAAAATGTTCCAAAGCCAGGCTAAATAATGCAAAATGTTTATGACATCACACTGAATCCTGAGGAATTCCACTCTACATAAAACCAGAGGCACCACTGAGACATATAATCCATGGAGAGAGACTGACAGACTGACTGAACACTAAAATAAAATAAAAAATAAAATAAAAAAAAAGGACTGACCACACAGCAATGACCTTTACTGATCTGAAAATGATCTCACTTCTTTTTTAGCCACCTGATAACTAAATACAGAGAGTTTAAGAATAGGATTCTTGCGGTATTTTAGAGCAGTACCTTGTTGAGGGAAAAAGGAAAACAGCTCAAATGAAAAGTGATTAAGAGGTAACATTGTTTCATTTGATGTAATGTATGAAGATGTCCTGTGCATAATCTTGTCTTTTCTTTACAGAAGTGGATGGTGATAAAATATTGATTAAAATGATGATTTGGAATCTTTTTGTCCACAGGAGAGAGAGTGAGCGAGCTCTGACACACACACACACACACACACACACACACACACACACACACTTAATACATGTATATAGATAGTGTGGTGGAAAACAGATAGCATGTAACAGGTGCCATGGGGCTCAATCATTGCTGAACTTTTAGAAGTGATCATGTTACCAAAGGAGATTGCTGTTGACTTAAGAACGGTTTATCTTTCATACAAGATTATTTAGGAAACCCGGTGTTAACCAAACTGATTTTTAATGATTTTACTAATTAAAAAGTGGCAAACAGACTTAATATTGATGGCTGGTTGGTAGGCATGGTATATCATTGAATCGCTGACCTTTATTACAACAGAACAAAAGAAGCGCATTCCTTTAAATATAAACAAATATCTTTACCTTCAATTATTGTTCCACATTTTCCATCCTTTTTCTTAGTTCTTTTCTTGGCAGTCTTTTGAAAGGGCGCAAACTCCACAATAGCAGGATATTCCTGTCCTGTTTTGGGCAAGCAAGTGGTGGAAAAGCATGAAGCCTCAATTTCTATCTGAAAAGTTTGTTTATTTAAATTCGTGGTCTTCATACCTCTGTGGTCAATGAATACATATCCATCAAATCGATCTCTGAAGAGGACTATATCCTCTTGGTTTTTGAAACTGATGTAAGCCCTTGCAAAGAGGTGAGGGTAAAGGCTGAAAGGACACAATACTTAAGTCATATTAAAGTAGAGGAGTCACTGGTAGTATTTTTTACATGAGGAAGCGTCTTTTGATCAATTCACCTGGTGTCATTGGAGAAAAACTCCAAGTATTCCACCTCTGGGAGCGGTTGTAACTGTTCCTCCAAATCCTCCTTGGTCAGATTTGGTGGTAATCGTCTGATCACAATCTGGGAACAGATTAATTACATATTTGCAAAGGAAACAGCTGGCTAATAGTCAATTAAAGATGGTCTAACTATCTGGTTTCAATTTACGGTGTAATTTATAGTGCACTAGACGCCGCAAGACAAAACACAGCTAGTTAAAAACACGCTGCTGTTTCATAAAACTACAGTATTACTAGTATCTGTAATTGACGTTTTAAAGCCTCGTTAGCTAACGTAGCTAGCTAGTTTTACCTTTGTCATGGCCTCTTTCTTTTCCTTGGACTTCTCTGTCTTTTCCCCATCTTCACATTTTATTTCCACCCTTTTCTCCTTAGGTCGAGCGTTTTCTTTATCTTCTTTCATGACTGAAAAGCTACTTTGTCCTACAGTTGAATATCATCTCATCCCACGAACTTGTTTACTTTTTTAGCAAGTTAGCCGGCTACTATCAAAGCTAACGAATTAACTAACCGTAACTTCCTTTCTGGCGGTTGAGTTTACAGTTTAGTGGTGCTACAGGAGGGGGCGCTGTGAGTGAAAACAAAACGTACGCCGTGTACTTGAAATGATAATTGCATGTATTTTAATTTATCCACTTTTTATGCTCTTTATGGAAATTTGACTAAAATGTTTTTCATAGTTTTGTTCCATTAATATAGTCAGGAGAATAAAACTTCCCGTTTAACGACGGCCCTTCAAAATAAAAGCAAGGGAACAAATGTTATGCACTAAATAATAGGTATACACAATATAGATAGTCTGAAATGATTCCTTTGTTAACTGTGAAAGCAACTTTCTAACAAACTAATTGTATGCTAATGTCTGATGTCTAGTTGAATCTTACTAGTGGACCTTAATACCAGGTAGAGTGGAAAAGTCAAATCTTGTTTTGTCTGGAATAGTGAAAATTAATGGCCAACACTGTCCATTTTCAGTATTTAATTCAGTATTTATTTTCTTTTTAAATTAAATGTAATGTCAATGTTTAAATGTAGATAAACACAATCAGGTTTATGTGGTAACTTATTTTATACATTTTTTTTTTATCAGTTTCATGTGTTTTACTTGGATTATCTATGCGTCCACATTTGTTTTCACAAATTCTTCACTTCATTCATTACATTGTGTAGTGTGTTGTCTTGTGCTGCATTATGTTTCTTATCTACTGGAAAAATTAATACACTTGAACTACAAAGAAAAAGGTGTAGTTGTGTTTAGGTTGATAGCAGCATTTAGACGCTTGTCTTTTGAAAAATTCGACCGGATGTAGCTTTCTTGTTCGTTGGTAGTGGAACATAGGTCGCCATTACGGTCGACATTTTGTTAGCAAAATCAACTGTCAAGGGTAGTGTTAGGGCAGCTTGGCTGTCTTTAGAGTTGCTCGACAGTTAAAGACTGTAATCATGTGGTATGAAATTCTGCCAGGTTTTGCCCTTATGACGGTGTGTTTGATAATCCCCGGTATCGCCACAACACATATCCACAAATTTACTAACGGAGGAAAGGTGAGGATGATGTCGTCTACTGCTAATGTTGTTCTGACCATGGTAACAAGTAGACAGTCAACCGTTAAAACGTGTGGGATGTCATTATTATACTCCTAAGCGGTTAAAGACTTGTGTTTCCCCTATAGGAAAAGAGAGTCGCTAGGTATCCGTGGCACTGGTCCCTGATGGAGAGAGACAGACGAGTGTCAGGTACAGGACGGTTCTTTGACTCTAAGGTGAGTGTCCGTGTGCCAGTGGTAATAAAAGTAACGTTGCATATATTTTGCACATCTGGCAAATAAAGCATAGTTCTATTTTTTATATATTTTACATTGTTTTCGCGTCCTGTTTGGCAATGCCTCCTAGCCAGCCATTGACATTTGCTGCTTGTTTACAAAACGTTAAATAGCAAACCACGCAGCTGTGTACACATATATTTCATTCATTAACTATTCCCTTGCTCATGCTTAAGGTGGATTGAGCAAATTTACATTAAGGTCATCAAAATCCTTATATTACTAAAATGTTTAAGATTCCACGCTAACAGGCTCTGAAATACTAATGAGAAATTACTAAAATACATCCATGGGACAAAGTCTAATCCAGAGGTAGAAAGTTAACCAAGTACGTTTAATCAAGTACAATAATTAAGAAGAATTATGAGGTATCTTTACTTGAGTATTTTTATTTTCTGCTACTTCATACTTCAGAGAAAAACTTGTACTCATTTTTATTTGATAACTTTAGTTACTTGTTACATTAAAGCGATTAATAAAACAAAATACAGTATAATCAACATTTATTTCACTTGGTGTAAAACTCAAGATACTAAGCAGTAATTCAGATTATAAGCATATATGGTAGTTAAAATTGACTGTTTATCAGCTGCAGCATTAAATGTTGTGTACACAATAATACATAAATTATAATTGAATAATATGATGTACAACAATGTAAACTGATATTTTGCATAATGAGTTTTTACTTTTGGTACTTTAATTACATTTTCTGCTAATACTTTTGTACTTTGATTTTAAATGCAGTGAGGTGTTGCTGCTTTTATTTAAGTAATCTGAGTACTTCCTCCACCACTGGTCTAATCAGATATAACTAAGTAAAAACACCTGTGTAGGTGGACCTTTAAAGCAGATGTCAGCGATGATAGAGCTCAATATCAGTGCAATATGATTTCCATATGGTAATCATTTGAACTAATGAATAGCTTTCTGTCAGAAAAAAATGCATTTAAAAAATAACTTGCCTGGTTATTGTTTATATGTAAACAATTTGGAATATTTAAAAAACAAAAGTAAAGAAAATCTTTTTTCCTCAACAGGGACTTGAGAACATCCGCTGATCACAAGGGCCATGAAGACCCAGATGAGAAAAACCTTCTCTTTTGTACATTAAAAGATTATGTTTTGCATTCAGCTGTTTGGTTTTTTTTTCAGACTTTAATGAATCTGTCCCTGTTGTCAATTAAACTGTCCCATGCTGGAAATCCTTTGAGCCTTCTTGGTTTGTATGGTGAGTTTCAAAATCTACAGACAAGAGATAGGAGCTTCACTTAAATAGATGATTTACACCTGTTTAAAAGTTGTGGCACTTTTGCTGTAGATGTCACATGATGATCCAAAGATTTTTTTTTTAATACTTTATTGAGGTATATGACAGTAGTTATACATAAGTAAATAGATCGGAAACAAGAGGACTATAACATAAAATAAAGAACATAAAAACAAGAACAACATCGAAGCAGACAATGTGAACATGAAACTTTTAGGCCAGGGGTGACTTAATGGGTTAAGTTAAGTAAAAACATTCAGGGAAGTACATATATTACAAATTTTGATAGCTTTTTTATTTTTGCTCTTCAGGATGGAGGAGAAATAATTTTTAATTTCGCATAACAGGGCAGGGAAGAAGGGTTTAGATTTAGAGAATTTGCATGAGTAAGGCTCTACCTAAAAGTGAGAGGTCGCGTTGAAGCCATTGATTAAATCTTTTCTTAACATTCTTGAGTATGGGCTCAAAGTTGAGGGAACATCTTAAAGTTTGATTTTTGGATATAGTAACACCTAAGTATGTAACACTGTCTTTAACTTGTATTCCAGAGATATTAGTTAGATTGCAGTCCTTAATAGGGAGAAGTTCGCATTTTTGAATGTTAAGCTTGAGACCAGATGCTTCCGAGAAAGTTTTAATTAGATTAATGGCCTTAGAGATTTGGGAACTGTCCTTCAAGAATAAGGTAGTGTCATCAGCCAGTTGACTTATTATAATCTCTCTGTCTTCAACTGTAATTCCTTTGAGATTGTTGGATTTTAGATGGTCAGCAAGGAGTTGAGTAGCCAGTATAAAAAGGTAAGGAGATATGGGACAACCTTGTCTGATTCCCCTTTTTAAGTCAAACCTAGGCGTAGTTCCATATTTTAATTTAATCGAGCAATTAGCATTGTTGTATAATGTTTTAATTGCATTGCAAAAAAAAGGACCAAAGCCGAATTTTTCAAGACAGCAAAATATAAAGTTGTGGTTGAGAGAATCAAAGGCCTTGTAAAAGTCGAGGAAGAGAATAAAGCTTTCATCTTTAATTAGATAAGAGTAGTCTAAGGTGTCTAATACTAATCGAATATTGTTAGATATATGTCTGTTCTGCATAAATCCTGACTGAGTTTCACTAATAACGGAGTCTAGGACAGCTTTAATTCTTTTAGCTAATATAGAAGCCATAATTTTATAATCAATATTAAGAAGACATATGGGATGCCAGTTTTGAGGGGATCTTTTTTTGCCTTAGGGATTAAAGTTAATATTCCTTGACACATAGTCGGGATAAGAGAGCCATTCTTGATACACTCTAGGTAAACTTTGTGTAAGAAGGGGGCAATCTCAGTGGAAAATAGTTTGTAAAATTCTCCAGTTAATCCATCTGCACCTGGACTTTTATTGGATTTGAGGTGATCAATCGAATAGGTAACTTCATTTAAACTTAATTCTCTATCACATAGCTCTTTTCCAGAGTCTGAGATGTTTGTAGTCCCTGTTAAGGAGTCAAGAAACTGGTGAGTAGCTTGCTCAGAATAGTTAGAGGTATATAATTTACTATAAAAAGACTGGCAGAAGTGAGAAATTGTTTTTGGGTCATCTGTTATATTGCCGTTAATTTCAAGATGATGAATACTGTTTAATTTAGAGCGGTGCTTTTCTAACCTAAAAAAGTATGCTGTGTTACTTTCTCCCTCCTCAAGCCATTTTAATCTTGACCTTACAAAAGCACCTTCTGCTTTAGATTTATAAATCTCATCTAATTTAAGTTGCATTAGAGACAAATTAATTTTATCATCGTCTGTATAAGTGGCAGGATATTTACTGAGAAGAGATAAAATGTTTTTTATTAAAGTCTCTTCTTCTAATCTTTTAGCTTTAGCTAAAAATTTGCCAAACGATCTCAAATAACAGGCGGCCTCAAACTTGAACAGTTCCCAACTTTTACAGTAACAGTTTTCAACATTAGCTTTGCGTAAGAAATGTGAAATCAATTTAGAGATTGTGACTTTAACTGTTTCATATTTAAGTAGAGCATTATTTAGAGTCCAATAAGATTTTCTGTTATAAGGGTTTGATGACGGTAAAAGATTGAGTGAAATGCTGATTGCTTTGTGATCTGTTAATGGTGTTGGTAATACTGTAACAGAGATATATTCTGAACTAACATCATCGGACACTAGCCAATAATCTAAACGAGATTGTCTTGAACCATCATTGTTAGACCAAGTATAAAGGGTATCTTTAGGAAACTTCTTTCTCCAAATATCAGAGATTAAATTTATCCATAAAGGATTTAAAAGCATTGTTGATAGAAGAGTTTCCAGGTGGCCATCTATCCAGTTGGCTATTTTGTACCATGTTAAAATCTCCTCCAATTATAATGCTTGCCTTGGGAAATTTAGATGTCCAGTCATTTAAAATATCTTCTATAGAATCTAATAGTTGGTCATTCTCAGATTTTCTGTTATACCCATAAATGTTGATTATGAATATGGTAACATTGAGATAAAGAATAACATTACAGACATAGTGACCTTCTGGGTCGCATTTTGACAAAAGTATGTCTCCTCCAAAGTGATTCTTAAAAGTGAGCGTACCAGCTGAGTGGCTGGAACAATGTGAAAACCAACCTTCCTCACCCCATTGAGTTTTCCAAAAATTTTGCTCATTTACACAAACCAACCTTCCTCACCTCATTGAGTTTTCCAAAACTTTTGCTCATTTACACTAGAATGAGTTTCCTGAAAGAAAAAGAAATCTGAACACAATTGTTTAGCAAATAGAAAAAGTGCCTTACGTTTTATGTTGTTTTTCAACCCCCTGGCATTTAAAGAACCTATACAAAGAGACAACTTTAAACTGGTAGAAGAGTGGAATAATACACCAAATAAGATGATGATCCAAAGATGTACTGGAGGAATATATCCGTATAGCTCATGAAAATCAGTTGAAACAGGGTAGCAGGCTTCGATACTGCACTAAAAGTGTAGTGCAGTAGAAGCTCAGGTGAATATGAACAATAATGTAAACTGGTACTAATTCAACTGGTTCAGAAAATGGGTTTTAGGACCTAATGAGTTTAAACAGATGTCTTAAAACTACTTAAAGGTTTTGATGCTTTTTCTAATCTTGGCTTTTCCTATTAATAATAACAATCATATACATAATTAAAAATATATTTAATAATTATAATTAACTGCTGGCTTTACCCCTGGTCTTTTAGGATGCCTAAAACTTAAATGTGACTTGTCATTTATTTGGCTGACCAGGTTACACCCCCAGCAGACAACTGGTGCCTATGGGTCACAAATAGACACTTAAAGGTTGTACAAGCCACACGAACTGCGCAAAATGATTTTAAATTCCGAAATAAGTGGAGCCAAAATAAATGTGAAAAGTAGAAGACAAGTTGGTAATTACAGTGTATTTTCTGTTCAGGATTACTCAAAAAAAGATGTACAAGATAAAATTAACAATTGAAAGGAAAGCAAAGTTCCAGCAGGTAAAGAGGATGGAAAATATACAAAAGTGTCTTCACGGTTTAGAGGTCAGCAACTATCACTGACATTTTTTTACACTTAAAATCCTCCCTGCAAAACATAAGCTCCAATAAAAGTGAATGATTTTCCTCCCAAAAATATAACATGTCACACGAGAAGACAAAAACCTAAATGTATCCAACAGAAGAAAAGCTGAGAGGAAAATGCAGAAATGCGGTGTTCACTTCTCCTCCTTGCCTTTGGTTTTCCTGTACACCATTTCTCTGAAGCTCGACAGAATCTTGCTCTCTCTCTTCCTTCTCTCCTCCTGGTTGAAAGATGCCAGAGCTCTCTTTTCATCCGCACTGTAGATCTGGTTTTCCTTTCTCAGACGCACAGCTTCCATACGACGATGCCTGCAGGGTCACAATTGAAATTTGTCAGGATCACAGTAATGATGACACCTTACAGTTACTTTAATTGTCTCCACTTAAAAAAATGCACTGTGTATAATTGCAGTAATTTCTACATAGGAGTTTGTTTAAATCAAATTCCAAATTAATTAAATATGTTTTGTACAATGATGCAAATCCAAATGTTTTTAAACCCATGTAATCAATTTACACTTTTTCCCTCTGGAGGATGTGATTGCAATAAAAGTGGCTGTAGTTTAATTCTGTCATAACTGAACTGAGAGTATACAGTCCTATTTTTAAGTATCACAAACCTGCTTCCGCTCATCACGTAGCCAGACTTCTCAAAGTTTGCGATTTCGTCACTGGTGAGACCAATCTCTCCTCTTCTCGGGATACGTTTTCCAGCTTTCACATACTCCGCCATCGCAGCACCTTCACCCGGCAACAGGGCATGACCAAAACTGGAAGAATAAAAAGATGCACTTGTTAAACAAATAGGAAACATAAATGTAGAAAAGGACAGTGTAAAATCACAAATCACACCGATGATAATTTCTGCTAGACAGAGATAGAAGTGACAGCAGGCTTGGAGGTCATTTAAGTAAATGTGCAAAGTTTATATTGTGTAAATCACAGTTCCATAACTTGAATTAGTAATGTCACATAAAGTGCAGGAAGAAAAGTAAATGACAAATCAACCCACTCCAAAGGCTTGTTGTCCTGGGACATGTGCGTGAGTGGAGCTTCAGGGCCGACCATGTGCTCATCCATGCAGGTTTTCTCCACCCACATCACCGTGCTGGGATCCTCCACCTCTTCCTCCTCTGACTCTTCACTGCTGGAGTCGCTGGACTCCTTACGGCTCTTCTTCGCCTTCTTCTTCTTGGACTTCTTGGACCTGTTAAGAAACATTTGAAGTTTGAGTAATCATCACATCCCTCTCTGCAGTAGCACTGAGATCAAAAAGTGGCATTTGGCATGTCACTTTTGTGTTTCATGCTGGTTCAATAAAGGCACACGGTGATTCTGAAGTGGTAAAGTTGTGCCTTCAGTGACAGATACCACTTCCCAACAGCAGATGTGCCATTAAAAATGAATGTGAAGTTATTATTCTTTTTGATCAGTTATTAGTTTCTGTGTTTTAAATTAGGCATGTGCCACTGACATAAGTGGCAAGTCAAATTCCATTTTTCGAACTCATTCTCACTTCCTTTCTGTGAAAATGATGCTAGTATGTAACTGTGTATTGGAGCTTACTTTTTGCTCTTCTTTTTCTTTTTCTTCTTCTTCTTTATTTCTTCTTCTGAAAAATAAAAACATGGTAGTTCAGTGAATACACCTGATGGAAAAAGACTGCGCTGAGCTTTTTTAAAATTAATTTTTGTTCATTCTCTTACCATCTGAATCTGATTCTAGCTCGCTGTCTTCTGAATGTTTTTTGTTCTTTCTCTTCTTGGATTTCTTCTTCTTCTTTTTCTTCTTCTTTTCCTCTGTTAATGATAGGTAAGACTCCTTGTAATTTCAAGCAATACAGAGTGCCGCTCTATTCATTTTCAAACACTGTGTTGGCTGTACCTTCTGAGCTCGATTCTGAACTGCTGTTTTTTTCATCTTCTTCAACTGGTGTGAATTCATCAGAGCTGAAAGAAACATACAAGCAAACATTTTAAGCTTCTGCACTTCAAGTGATCATCGCCTGCATGTACAGTACTGCAAAAAAAAAAAAAAACTAGAGAAATGCATTTCCTGTCGAAAATGAGTGTGGATGCTATGTGCTGAAGGATCGCCCTGAAAATGCTGAACATTTTGACACCTGAAAGGCATATCTACCTGAAAGTATGCTGAAGTACAATTTTCCCATTAATTTGAATGGGGGGAAATTTTCAAAATAAAGCTAAATATTTCAGAAGTGTGAAGTGTATACAAATTCTGAGTCCAAGCATGAATGTCCTGGAAGACTTGAACATTTTGATACCTGAAAGTATGCTTACAATGACACTTGTATATTAGAGTCACATACTATAAAGAAGACAAGTTGGACTCACTCTGGCTCTTTCACTCTTGGTGAATATCCCCAAACTTCAGGGCAGCCCAACTCACCAATCCTCTCCCTCTCTTGCAGACGCCTGTAACAGAGAAACAGACTGATCAATAACTGGCTTTTTTATAAGAAGCACCAGCTAAGTCAGCTTTTATTTAATATCAGTGCACTTTTATCATTTGAAAACCTTTTTAACAACAACCTGGTGGATGGACTGTTTAAAAGTCACGTATATTTACCACTAGGCAAGGAATATCTAACAGAAGACTATATTGCATTGTAGGTATTGGGGTTCAGAGTTTGACCTACCGTGTACTAGGAATTAAAAGCAAGAATTTCTCATCCCTCGCTGCTTTAATTCCGAATACATTATGCAATAAGCTACTTCATAAGATTTTGAGTCCCCTGACTTCACGGAACTGCAATACTAAATTGCCGGGGTGATCCTCTAATGATTAAGTGATCAACTAAAAGAAAATGATACTGAAAATAATCGTTAGCTGTATTAATCCTGGTGTTTTCATACCTGGCAATAAAAGCCTCTTGTCTCTGTCTTTGAGCATCGTCCCTCTGCTGTTCGTAGTAGTATTCATCTTTGGAACTGCTGTGTTTTCCAGAAGCGTCCCGCTGTTCGGACCAGTGGCTGTGATTATGGCTGCTGCTGGTGCTGTTGTTATGGCGCTCTCTGGACCGGGATCGTGACCGACTACGGCGGGGACTGCCTATGCGGATCCGCCTAATGTTTCTCGCTTCTCGGAATCGGCGCTCCCGTTCCTCGCGTTCCCTCTCTTTGTTCCGCGGCTTTGGGAGTTTGGGCCCGAAGCTATCCGGTGACAGGCTCCCCTCGTGGCTATCACTGCGGTTGCGGCTGCGAGAACGAGACCGGGGTCTCCGGACTCGAGGACTACGAGACCCGCCGCCGTCAGAGCTCGAACGATCAGAGAGAGACATATCCACGGACTGCTTTAGACTCACAACTAAACTACGGGATATATACAATATTTTAAAAATGTATTTTGAAGTAGACTAAGAAAAGAACAATCTAATTGCCCTGTTCATGTTACTCTTCTTTTCTATAGTACGCAAGCAAAGCGACCAATAACAGGAAGCGATGCGTCCGTCCCCAAATAGAATCCGATTTCCCTAACGATGAAATAGCACATAGTTCCGTTAGTGCTTGTTAAAAAAAAAACAAAAAACAACAAAAAAAAACTTCTTCTTCTTCTCTGTCAATACAATGTTAATAAAATCCCAGTGGTACTTTCCAATTTTCACAAACAAATGCTATTGTCATGGACCCTAGCCTATAAACACAACTTTTCCCCCACACAAATGTTACATCTGGAACAACCAATATATAACT